GCACGTTCGTGTTGGGCGACGACTTGAAACCGTGGCTGATCGACATCGTGTCTGACGACCCGTGTTTGGCCGCTGACTACGAAGAACGCGACCGGCTGGCGGCGCCCGCAGCCACTCGCTTGACCCGGACCGTAGTACAGAGTGTGGCCAAGATGCTGGTCGACAACGGTCGCCGGAGCCAAGTCAAGTCGGACGTTGTACGTACGGACCGTGCTGTCGATGCTTAGCGGCCGGATGTGCACGGGTTCTCATTGAACCGGAAATCTGCCATGACGAGGCACTCCGGGGGGTTAGGTGCTGCGGTCAGGGGCGTTGATTATTGCGACCACAAACAGCTTGGATCGAAGATGCTGCGCAGCGCCAAAACCGAAGCAACAGTGACGACTACGGCTGTCACGTCTACGCGTCCCGTGGTGTCGGCGGTGACCGCGACTGTTGGGCCCGGCCCCGTTAATCTGCAGCCATTGCCAAACTGCTTGGAACTGTTCCGTGGCACTTTTTTGTTGGCCGCCGACTGCGACGAAAGCGTCTGGCTGGCGGCGCTCACCGCTACTCGCGTACCCGGACCGTAGTACATGGCGTGGCTAAGATGCTGGTCGATGACGGTCGCCAGAACTAGGCCGCCAGGTTCGGCACGTTCCGATGTTTGACATACGTTTGAGTTCCCGTTGCCGAGTGCCGACCGCTAAAAAGGCTCACCGGCCGCGCTGGTCATGCGTTAGGCGACATCATAGAGGAGTACTTTCTATGGGCGACGGGCACCAAGACAAGTACCAACCGCCCGGTAAAGGTGGGCAAAAAACGTCGATTTTTTAAAAACATCGATGTTTTTGTCCGATACATTGTTATTCAACATCGGTGAGTTTATTTCCACGTATCGTGAACATTCAAAATAGTGATATATTTATACTTTCTAGTAAGTATAATATTATTTGTACTATTTGTAATTTATATTTCATTTTCCATTTTATTTTCGAGTTATCGACTTCGTAGTTCGTGGCTCATACAACGTGCAGTGAAAAACATTTATATATTAAATAACATCTAGTATTCGTTGTTTTCTTTGTAAATTGTTTTAAATACTTTTCAGTTTTCTCTATTTTTTCAAACTCCGGAGAATACATTCTTTTTATTTTGATAACTTAAGTATAATACCAAAAGGTAAGTAGTAATACATAAAAATAATTTATTCAATTTAAAGTAAATGAGCACAAGATCGTTAAGTTAGTTGTTAACTAATCATACATTTAACTCGCTAAGGGATTAATAGTGACTAGTTAATGTGAAAAAAAAATGTTCACTTAATAAGAAACTCAGTTTCAGAATGTAGACTAAATTAATAGGTAACAACTCTAAATGTGCATTCAGTTTCAAATTTAATTATTATCTTTGTTAAAATAATTATTTATTAATTAAGTAATTAAAATATAAGTATATAGGTACTGTATTCTATCCGGTTTTTATAATAAAATATAATAAAATTATTAAATTCAAATTTGTACAATGTTATCCCATTATATTTTAGTGAAGTTAATATTTATTGGTATAGTTGTAATTTAGCTCATAAACATCTGTAGATATTATGTCATACAATTATATACATTTGACGAAAATATCCTATGTGCATTATTTATTTTAAAAGGTTTTCTATAATTATATGGAAAAAGTGGTGAGTAAATTTAAAAAAGAGGGTCTAAATTATCTTTGTTATATGAGAATAAAGTAATTGTAATGTATGACGTATGTTTTAAATTTAATAATGAATCATTGTATACGAAAAATGATTCTAAACGTAGACAATCAGACGACAATCTATTAGATTATATTACAAAGATATTTTATAATAATTATTTATTTATATTGCTATTAAAGTAATTTATTTTACTATTTGACAAGAATATGAAAATTGCATTGTGTATAAAATATATTAATAAACGCCAAAGTTTCAAGTACCCATAATTACAATTTTTAAATTAAAACAAAAAAGTAAAATTTAATCAAAATATTTAATTTTGTGCAAATTAGAACTTAAAATATCTACATTCAAACACTTTTCATGATACACTTATAAATCATAAAAATCTTTTTATCTCTCAAATGTCCTCACTAATAATTTCTAGAAATTCTACTAGAAGTTTAAGAAGAAATTTTCCAAAAGATTCTTTAACAAAATTAAAATAAATAAATCACTTTCAAAAAAGTAAATATAGATAGCAAAATTGTCATGATTTTGACGAATTTCATCAAAATTCTAACTTTAATGCTTACAACATTGTGACTATATTATTTATTTTTTTAAAATTGTTAAATGTATAACTTACCTTATGTCCTTACAATCTATAATCTACAAAGTGATTCAATTTCATTAATGTATGCCATAAGTAGTTCATCATCTAATTGCTTTCTTTTTTCGAGTAGTAATCATATTGAAGCTTATTTTGATAAGCAATGGGTTCGAAGTTCTTTTCATAAATCAGCCCATTTATTAAAATTTTAATTTTCGATGTTTTTCTTGTTCAGTCCAACCATTAATAGAAGCTGCTCTTTGATATTAAAAAAAATATATATCTATGCTTTCAAATAAAGAATTAGAAAATTACTAAGTTTGAAATAGGATTTTTTTTTATTCATTGTATTTGTTTTAGTTTGATCATTTAAGTTTTGACAATTTTCATTTATTAATATAAAATCGTTTGAGCAAGATTCACTGTTTAAATATTTTAATAATCTATTTTCAAGTTCTGCAACTGTCACCACACTATTTAAATTTCTTTTATTTAACTCTAAAATTAATTAATGTTCTTTAAATTTGTTTAGATTTCATATGATACTGAAATAAAAATCGGTTCTTCTATAAGTATTTCATTCTCCTGATCACTATTATTTTGTGACACTTGAGAAAATGATATTTGTTTTATCAATTATTTAATTATAATTATTTATTTATTTAATTTTTACAAAAGATTGATTATAAATTTTAAAATTGTATTATTAATAAGAGAAAAAAATTAGACCAAATATATTATTGTGCAACGAAATTCATAATGGTTATAATAATTTTAAGTGAGAGAAAAAAAACTTGAGTATACATTTAATTAAAAAAAAAATAATGATAAAAAATATTTTTATATTTAATTATGTATATATTCGTATTAGTATTTTTATTTTTTATTTCTATTTTCATTTTTATCTCGAGGGTTTTAAACGTAGTAAGAGCCACTATAGGTGGGCGCACACTTAGTAATGACTAATGATATAAAATAGCTTGATATTGTCGGGGCGGTTATACGTCTCTAAATCTACTGCTTAGTTATATTATAAATTTGTATATTACCTCTCCGATCCTTGTAGTGACTTCCCTGTTGAAATAGTTAGCGTCCAAAGTATAGAGTGGATGACCGATTGGTGTTACATCCTTTTGTATAAACGATTTGCGTAGTCTCTTACACTCGCCTATAAGAACATTTTTACAAAAATACGAGAACAACACGTACGCGCCCTGAGCTGAAAGACTGCCTTCGAGACAGGCGACGACAGCTGTCTCCTTATAAATATCATGTTATATTTGTGTTTATGTGTGTATGTAAAATCTTATCGTCCTATTCAATATTTACAACTTATCCTCATATACTTAATGGCTATCAATTATTATAATTATTTTTTTATACATTTTAAATCTAAAAGAGATATGATGGCTATTGGTTTAAGCCTTAAGCACACAGTATTACAATATATTGAGAATATATTAAATAACTTTATCAACAGTTAAAATGTAATATTTATCAAATAACATTGTCAACAGATTATAATATCATAATATCGATAAAATTGTTGCCATATCAACATCGCGTATATTATACATACATTTAATTTTTTACATATTACTTAACACTTTAAATTTTGAATAAGAAATTTACACTTAAATTTTAACTCATAATTTTTAATTTATATACATTCTGATGGCTTGTAATGATAAAATCATAAAAAAAAAATTATCCAAAAACAATTCTTTAGGCACATTGGACCAAACAATCCGCGAAAAAAAAATCTTTACTGCAGTAGTCAAAATGCCGGCCGATATTCAGACGGCGTTAATCGAAAATGGCTGGATTGGCAAAATTAAGACCAACGAAGACTATTACCGAAAAAACGGTAATTATATATACTCATTATAGGTCTAAGCATTGAATTGAATATACTAAATCTTTCAGACCAATAATATCTCCTTAGGTATTGTAACGATATACATGTTACTGACGTGTCATTTATGCCGCACTCTGCGATTTTGCTTAGGTCAGAAGAACACAGGAACGTAGAGTACGAGTATATACAAATCATTTTTGATATAGCTAGTCAGTCGAGTTTGGTTCGTAATATAGAGACAACAGCAGTCTCTAAATTTTTAAGTAACATTTTTAATTTGATTTACTATAGGTATAATAACCTACCTTATATAGATAAATTATAATTTATTCAATCGTTTCAACTCGTATTCCGCTACACCCGTGATCTTCAAAATAATACCCTAAAGAACAGGGTTACTCAGATGATATAGTGTACTGTATAATTATATTGATATTAATCTTATAGATAAACCTTGTAATACGTTGCTATAATATCGTTTCTATTGTGTTAGTTTATTGAGCGCAGGTCATAAGTTTCTAGGACCTGTAAAATATAACTTAGAAAACTTTATTTGTATCAATTCAACAACCCGGTTCTTAAAACCGATTTATGTAGTGGGAATAGCTAATCAATTACTTCTTAACTGGATAAAATTAGATATGAAATCGACAGCTTTTTAGTTTTAATACACGGGTAGGTGTGTTGCAGTATAAAGTACCTATGTACTACAGTCTACATGTTTATATGATATATTAATTTATAATATAGTTAATACTCAATAACTGATTACTTTTATAAAGAATATAAATACATAGTAAACACACAATATTATATTTGAAGTAAAAAAAGGTGGGTAATTGATTAGTCGGCCACTGCAGCGATAATAGTGTTGAATTTGAACTCAAAGACATTGTGATCGTATATGAAAAACGATTCTGAACTCAGACCCTAATCTGACAGCCTACATGGATTACATGACTACATTATTATAACTCTACTGTCATGTATACAATATACATAATTAGGTACATCTAATATATAAAAATCTTGTGTAACAAATCACAACGGAAAATGTCACCAAATTCCTCCGAAACGGGGTATAAAAAATATTTTACATCACTCTCTCAGACCTATTGAATACACACACACAATTTTGTGAAAATCAGTCAAGCCGTTTCGTAGGAGTTGGGTGACAAACATATTCCGTTGTGACATGAGATTTTCATATCGAGCTTGTTCCCCACTTAAAATATCTAGGTATAATTTTTGATTTTAAATTAAATTGTTTTTCTCATACTGAAATGATTAAGAATAAAACTTTTCGTAACTTAGTATTACTAAATTCACCAGTAGTTTATTCTTATAGATTATATTCCTTTAAAAATCCTCTATAACTCTTTTATTCGATTCAATCCAGAGTACTGCCCCCTAATCTGGATAAATAATACGTCAACTCAAAATATTATGCTAGAATCTGTTCAAAATAGTTTCTTATGTTTTATCTCTTTTAAATTCAATATCAATCACAGACCTTTTCATGACTCATGTAATAATGTTTTAAATTTTCTTAATATTCTTTAAATATCTGACCATCGTTTACTTTTATTTTTTCAAAAACTGTTTATAGGATCAAATGATTATCGCGAAATACTTTCATTAATCCGCTTTAAAATCTAGAGCCTTCATACTTGAGATTCTTAACCTTTTTATCCATTATTTTCAATAAAAAAAAAAATCATATTTTTTACTCTCCAGCTAACTTTCTAATGATTGCAAGTTATACATATCACGTCTTTAATTATACTTTACAGTTTCTTATTTTCTTTAATTTGTATTAGAGATATATTTACTTTTAATAGTCTTTCTTATTATATACAATATATTATTGAGTAATAATTATTAATATATTATATTTTGTTTGTTATTTTTCATACGCAATATTTGTCATATATGTTTTATGATATTCGTCCGTATACATTAAATAAATAAATAAACTGGGCAAAAATAGTATATACTATAAAGGTAAGGTATAATAATATATTAGACCGAAAAAGATAAACTAAATCCATATAATGCACGTCATATTTAAGCATCTAAATATTAAAGGTAGGTAGCAGTCGTCACATGCAGAAATACTACATGACGTATCATTGGCTTCTATCTATTTATATGCATAAATTATAAATTCTCATTCGATTTCAGTGTATATAATGACTACTGCTTTATTATGTGAGATTTAACATTTACATTTTTACACATACATCGGATATAAGTATATAACTTATATGTGTTTAGGTTCCACCGTAATATTATCGTTACATAATAACGTCAAGCGTGTCAAAGCAGTCGTCAAGCGTTACGAATCCGGTCTGATGTGGATAGACGCGAACAGCGATGTCATCAACTGGAGGACGATACATCCAGACGTCGTAGTTAATCGGTTCCCGAGGGACGCGAACGCCTCGTTGAAGTTATGCGGCCACACTCTGGCCGGGAAATCCGAATTCGACGTTCACTACCCAAGGGCGTACCGGGTATGCGCCGACAAGGAGGAACACGTGGACCGTAACTTCGTCGTGGACTATTCATTAACCGCCTGTGTGTCGTTACTGCGTGCATTCGTGAACGGAGATCATCGAGCCATGTGCTCCAAAAGCGGCAAAGTGAGTACACACGCAAAGTCAATTAATTAATTTGTCAATATATTTTCTACTCTAATGTATAACTTAAATATTACAATATCACCACCAGGTACCTCTTTCGGCACTCCACTTCGCCGCTATCAAATGTCAACAATACTTAACGGGCGACATATCGCAAAGGGCGTCAGAGTTTTCGGGCAAGGGAGCTGACTGGGAAACATTTTTCGAACATTACCACACAATCGTGAACGACCAGCAAAAGTTCGCCGTGCCGGGGACGGGCAACGACGTGGACGCGGCATTGCGCAATATGGCCACGTCTACCAGACTGATCGTGACTCGGATAACGGCGGTAAGGCCGCAGACGGTGATGGACGGCTACAAGAACGTTTGGATAGTCAAGGATACGGCGGCGGGCGACCATCACCGGCCGGTGATGTTGAACAAACTCGGCGACGTGCTTAACCGGTGCGCGCGGCCGGGTGGCGCCGCGAACCGCATCGTTCAGAAATACGTCGAGACGCCGCTGTTGCGCAACAACATCAAATCGGACGTGTACGTATGGATCTTACTGTCGACGCTTGGCGGTCGGTTGTCCGTATGGCTGCACCGGACATGCATCGTGCAACCGTATGCGCACGGGTTCTCATTAAACCGGGAATCTGCCAAGACGGGGC